TCTTCTTCTTCTTCCTCCTCCTCCTCCAACTACTCCTCCTCCTCCTCCTCTTCTTCTTCTTCTTCTTCTTCTTCTTCTTCCTCCTCCTCCTCCTCCTCCTCCTCCTCCTCCTCCTCCTCTTCCTCCTCCTCCTCCTCCTCCTCTTCCTCCTCCTCCTCCCTCCATCTCCCTCTCTCTCCCTCTTCATTTATCTCCTCTCATTCTCTTACGCTCCTTCCTCTTAATTCATTTCTTACCTCTCCTCTTCCTCACCGCCCTGCCAGCCATTACCGCTTATCGTGGCAACAGAATGCTATGTTTGCCTTATCATCATCAAATCCACTTTCATTGTCATTTAAGAGCCAGACATTGCAATATTTTAATAATAGTTAAGTCATATTCGCTTCGTCCATGATTAAGCGTTTCTGTGTGACGCAAGAGTCGTTTCAGGCAGACTCTTTTTTGTGTGAAAAGTATTATTAGATGTGTTTAGATTGCGTAAACATACACACGGAGATACATTAACACAGATATGCACATATAAATATCATTCTGCTGATAGGCGATAACAACTTGGCCATGGTTGCGGTTGCCGGCTATCGCTGGTTCCTTATAAAACTGTTTCGGGTGAAGAGAGAGAGAGAGAGAGAGAGAGAGAGAGAGAGAGAGAGAGAGAGAGAGAGAGAGAGAGAGAGAGAGAGAGAGAGAGGGGGGGGGGGGGAAGAGAAACAGAGAGAGAGAGAGAGAGAGAGAGAGAGAGAGAGAGAGAGAGAGAGAGAGAGAGAGAGAGAGAGAGAGAGAGAGAGAGAGAGAGAGAGAGAGAAAGAGAAAGAGAGAAAGAAAGAGAGAGAGCTGAATAAGTAGCGTTGCGTAATTCTACAGTAAACTAAACCAATAGTAAGCCCAGAATTTCGCCAGTAACTTTCCTCGCGTATGTGATTCGCCTCCAGGGTATCAGAACAAGAACAAACCGCACATGTAAACAAGAGTGAATTCCGTCTTGGTCCAGCGCTCTCTTCAACCGCATAGCACTCGTTAATCAAGGCAGCCCTGTCTTAAGCGCTGCAACAGGTCAGCTCTTTGCAATGGAGAAAGCTTGATGCAGATGGCCTGGCCCTCGAGCTTCACAAAAACTTGAAGGATATGAAAGAGATCCGCTGTTCGGGAGCGCGGAGGAATTTTGGTTAGCTTGGTGACCTCTGGCAACGTGGCAGAATGACGATGCTTTCATTGTTTGTTATATAAAAATCGTAAAAATAAGTAAGGAGAAGATTCTGTTGGGGGTCTTCCTCGCCGCATCCGGTGAGAAGGGTAATGTGTACACGTGTTTGTGTTTTAGACGATTTTGTGTGTGTGTGAATATGCAGGCTTTTATGCTTCTGTTTGTGATTTGAATGCGTATGAGTGTTCACTTATATATCCATTTACTTCATTCTGCATTTTAACCTCTAACGTAAAAAAAAAATATTACTTGAGAAATTAAAAGGATCAACTTTCAGTTCACATTTAGCCTAAGAATTCCAACATGAAAGCCGGAACTGTTGCATTCACTGCAACAATTAACACCGAATTTCTGTTTTGTGTTGCCAAGAACAACTTTTTCTCCCTCCTTTCATCGTTTTTACATATATTAGAACAACGAGTAAGTGTGGTGTTTTTTTCGAGTAATGCGTATACTATCTCATCCGTTACAGTATCTTTATCTCGAATTTCATAGAGCACACAAACTGGTTTTGAAAATATCACGGTTATTATTCATTTTCCTTCCTTACCTTCCTGCCATTTTTTATGGGAATTGGAAGACATAACTTTTTTTTTTTTTTGATATACAGGACCTCGCCCAACCGCCATGCCGAGAGCTTTCTCATGTGCAGAACATACCCCGGAGGACTGTTTGGACAACTCTCTCTCTCGGCCTCCATCAGCTGATAATACTAATGAGAGTTTTTCTCCACTTTTAGCATCGTTACGTGGCTGCGCAGGGTTTTCACACTCTCTATCTCCATGTATGATATATATATATATATATATATATATATATATATATATATATATATATATATATATATATTCATATATATTCATTCTGTGTATGTGTATGATTATATATATATATATATATATATATATATATATATATATATATATATATATATATACATACATATATATGTGTGTGTATGTGCATATTACATATTATATATTACATATCATATAAATATTTTTATTATATATTACATATTGTATGTATTATATAATACATCATATATCATATATATACGTATATGCATATATATATAAACATTACACACACACACACACACACACACACACACACACACACACACACACACACACACACACACACACACACACACACACACACACACACATATATATATACACACGCGCGCGCGCGCGCACATACTTTCCCTTTAACTCATTTACTTAACTGTCACCGTTGTATCTCTTCACCTACTGCACCCACCGTCCGCCCTCGGATCCTCGTCCTAACGCCATC